GGCCGTCCCCAGCCCGCCCGCCCCCCACCCCGCGAGGCCCGCGAGCACCACGGCCTTCCGCCCCAGTCGGAGCTGCAGGGCGGCGAGGGGGGGGACGCCGAAGGCGTGGCCGAGAAGAAAGCCCGAGACGAGCAGCCCGCTCCGGGAGTCCGTGCGGGCCCCGTGGACCGTCGCGTCCGCCGTCATCGCCATCAAACACCCCACCACCGCCCCGCGATCGAAGTGGAGGATGAAATGGAGCGCCAAAAGCACCCCAAAAAGGGTCCCTCGCCTGGACCGGGGGTGGGGCGCCCCCGCCGTCCGTCCACCGCCCCGTTCGTGTAAGATGGACTGGGACTCGGTCGGGCTGAGCGGCTCGCGGGGGTCCGCCCACGAAGCCATTGAAAGCAAATCCAAGGTAATAAAATCACAAGTTCCTTCCTTTTTTGTTCATTCCTTCACTACACCTCGCATGCGGGAAACGCGGGAAAGGGGAGAACAGGAGATGATAACAGGTGTGGCCGAGATGGCGCATTAAAAGACAATGGAGCGCGATAAGTGACACGACAACATTAGAGAGAAAGTAAAAGTAAAAATGGAAAACCCCACCTATAAGATATATATATATATATATAAAATGATGTCGATGCATATATGGGAGGAGGGCACACCTCACAACCTAGATAGCAGAGTGAAAAAAAATTAGAAAAACTTAAAATCATATATGATATATAAAAAAAAGTAGTGGGTGAGTTGATTCTGTATATTACGGATGCTATATCTCGGGCATTTCAGGCAAAAAATCTATGATAGCGATTTTGGAGGGATTTCCCGTCGACAAGACGTGCGCAAAGATTTCCGCCAGATCCCGCCAGCTGCACATCTGCTCGTTATTGCGAACAGTGTTAAAACGAACCGCTCTATTCCAAGCTTCAACCGCGAAGTACTCAAGAATAATCTCCATCTTTTCGCCGATTGCATTTCCCAAATCCTCTTCCTCATCCTTCGCCCATTCCTCTAGGTATTCCTGAATCGTCTGAGAGGGGGATAGGTTGCAGAGCACTTTTTCCTTCACGGCCTTAAGAACTTCCTCGCGCTGCGCGGTGTTTGTTGCCATCTGATAAGCTTTATAATACATAATCACCAACGATGCCAGGGCATCCGGCGTGTGGGGCACTTCATAACTTTTTCGAGGTGAATCTGAAGATGATTTCTTTAGACTTTCGCCGTACAGGGCGGCAGAAGCAAGCTGCACGGTTAATGAGTACTGAAGGGCCGCATCATTGTCAAGCTGATTCCCGATAAAGGTGATCGCGTTGGCAAGAGCCTCCAAGTCATAGTGTGATGCCCCAGCAGCGATAAGCTTTTCTAAGTTTACCATCCTTTTTACTTCTTCCATGGAGACCCCTGATGGAAGCGTGCGGAGGTTTACTTCAACGCGGCTCAGAAAAGCGGTTACCCTATCTGTCGAGTTGTCTTCGGAGTTGTCACTTTTCTGGACTAGCGAGATGAACGAGGCGATACTTTCTACCGACAATGTGGGCATTCCATACACGAACAAATCGAACTCTCGATCCAAAATAAAAATCGTCTGGTTGCGGAGCATGTTTTTGTTCTCTTCGAGTGAACAATCACAATTAGACTGAAAAAGCTCCACAGCAACGCAGTCAATTTCGATCCCCACGTTAACCTCCACTTTTGAAATAACATCGCTGATGTAAAATAAAAAACGACACCACCAAAAGTACTCAGAAGAACTCAATGCAGGGCGCTTTTTCAAGGTCGGTAAGATATGTTGCGTTAGAAGGGTTGCTACCGCAAGCGACGAATCAGGAGACTCCTCCGCATTGGAAAGAAAGCGTAGGGCACAGACCTTTAAAAAATCGATCCGGTCTTCATCTGTGTGCTCACCACCCTCCGCAATCACCATCTCTGCAATTTTAGACGCTGTCGTGAGGTCATCCAACGAGTGGAAAAAGTTAACAAGCGTTCCACACGCTGCGGCAACGATATTCTCCCCTTCTTCGTCCGCTTCAATGTTAGTTTGGCGTTTATAGGTGAGTAGCTCGCGTAGATGCCGCTGCGCGGCCTCCTCGTCAGACCCCGAGACAAGCGCCAACTGCGCAAGGTAGGTGAGGCTATGCACACTCCGCAGCACGGGTCGGTGCGCGAGAAATAGCTGATAGCACTCCCTTACCCCCTCTTTTTCCTCAGTCTTGAGGAAGTTGTCAAAGGTCAGGATCGCGAGATCGAGCAGGACCCCCTCCAACTCCTCCTCGGAGGCGACCATGTCAAAGCCCAGGGCAAGTTGTAGGGCGCGCCGGCGGAGCTCCTCCCCCACCTCCTCCCACTCCCGCGTACTCCAGAGCGCGCAGAAGTAAAGCCGCGCGCCCTGCCCCAGGGCGTCGGGTTGTGCGGCCCGGACGTGCTCGAGCCTCGCACAGACCGCCCTCAGCCCCCAAGCCGTCCTGAGGGGGAGGATCAGGCAGACGTAGCGTAGGTTGAACTCCCCCATCGTGGTAAGGTCCCACGGGGTCGGCGTTGACAGCGAAAGGGACAGGGGGGCGCCCGGGCCTTCCCCTGTTTGGTGCGTGAGGAAGTCGCTCATCGGCTCCGCGAGTTCGGGATTGCTCTGCAGAACCAACGACGCGAGGGAGAAGATCTCCTCCAGGGTGAAATCCCCCTCAGGGTTCAGGAGGATTTGCCGGAATAGCCCCATCGCGTCTTCGTGGTGGTGCAGCAGGGCATGCGCCTTGAGCTGGAGTAAGACCGGCTCCAAGGATTGAAGCGCCTCGTAAGCCTTTTCACTGTAGTGCAGGCCCTCCACGTAAAGACCGCTGCGCATAAAAGAGGCCGCTATCTGCAAGAGCGTTGCGCCGTAAAGCGCCTGCTGGCGTCGAAGAGTAAGCCCCTCCATCTCCTGAATATTAATGGAAAGCTGCAGAAGTTGTCGGATATACTCTTCATGACCTTTGTCTTTGGGGTTAACCATCTTATTGGAGCTGCTTTCTTCATTACTTTTGGGATTCTCATCCGCGGCTGGGCCCTCCCCTACCGAAAAGATAAACTGCAGAAGACTCTCTCGGTAGGTGTGGTAATGGTGCTGCGTTTCGTTGCAAAGCTGAACGGCCACTTCTGCTGACGCGGTGTATTCTTTCAAATCCTTCAAAACGTACATCCTAGAAAACAATATCTCTAAGGCGAGATAATCAAGCCTGGATTCGGATCTGCGGGTGCAGCAATTACTCGTCGCCGTCGCGTGCTCCAAAAGCTCTTTGGCAACCTCGCTCATGTTCTGAGAAGATAAATTCTTCGCCGTCTTCAGGCACATGAGGATGCATTGTTCAGCCTCTCTACGATGATTTGAAAGGTAGCTCATCCGCACCGTCGGAGGAGCAAAAAAGTTGTTTCCTATAAGATACAGGTGGGTGATCAAATTACGATAGAGTGCCTTGAGTTTGAGGCGTTCTATCGGCCACCTCCGGAGTGCGGTTAAATTCCAGCATTTCTGGCATATCTCTTGCAATTCCAACGTGTCCTTGATCGGGAGGCATCTTCCGCGGCCCTCCACTACCGTCGCGGTAGTCAACATCGTTTGAATACACCTTTCTTCATCACCACTTAGTGACTGCTTTGAATCTAGTGTGCGCCAAATACAGGCATCAAGTATCCTCACAGCAGTTGGAAGGGACATGGGGTCCTAGGGGTGTTTTTTTTTTCGTACTACGCAGAAAGTTGCATAAGCGCAGTCTGAAGTCACCCGCTCAACTTAAATGTATGTAATGACAAATGAATTTGAGGTCCCCCCCCCCAAATATGAACCACATCAAGCATTTACATAGGAGGGAAGTAATTAGAAAAAAAAAGTTGATCAACAAATCAATATTGAGAATGGACCAAATATAAATATGATACATCCAGGTTCAAAATTAGCATCATCTAGCCAATGGTATGAATTGAATTTCACAAAATTACAACACATTAAATTTAAAAAAATATGGGGAAATCTTAAGAAATACTACTTTTAATTTTAGTACACACACCAATATTGAAGTGTATACCAAAATAAGTACCGGGATTTTCATGGTACAAAACACATAAACAATTACTATACGTTGATTGCAAACACAATTATTCAGTTTTACGATGTTAAAATATTTGTTCCTCTGAACTCAAGCAAAACACATATATACATAGTGCAAGATAACGTAAAATGGGAAAAAAAAAGCACAACAGGTGCATGAGAACAGCAAATTAGACGCCTCTTCGTTTTGGTGGAGGTTTTGGTTTATTCATGGTGACTGCGCAGTGCGGAATATGTCGTTCTGCTGCTTTCTGGGCAAAACGGCGCTGACAATGAGGACAAGACACATAGTCTGGATTTTCACTATACGTCGGTGGTGGCAAATCTCGTATATTTCCCCCTGATTTGAGAACTTGATCAACCTTCTTGGCTTCACGCAGTGCACGCCGGAAAGCTTCGCTCTCGGCCTTCCAGTCCTTCTTTGGTGGTGCATGAGCTCCTTTATTGCGTACAGAACTACTAACGCCCACACTCTTGGACGGAACGGCGTCTAGACCTTCCAACCACTTCTTGTTTATGTTAAACACGGGTCTTTTTTTCTTCCGAGTCGCGCATTTGCGCATGTGTTTTTGTAAAACCTCCGGCGAAAACTGGCGGCCGCAGCTGGGGCATTCCTCCCGCTCGCCGGAGCCATTCCATTCTTCCAACTCCAAGTCCGACCTCCCGGTGGGAGGGGCCGAGGCCGTCTCTGCGCGCATCGCGTCCATCGTTAAAGATGACCGCTCTTTGGTGAAGGAAGAAGTGTTCATGCGCGGCAACAAGATTCCTTTTGAGGGGAGTTCGCTGGAGAGGGACTCGAATGTCCGTGTAGTGCCGCCCATCGTGGTGTCCGGATTCTTCGAAGTCTCCGACTCTGTCCGCTTCACGAGTTTCCCACCACAATCCTCACAGTACACCGCGTGGGATTCCTCGAAGAAAAGATCGCACGTCTTGCAATACACCATACCCATCTTGCTTGCGCGGGATGCGGGGATCGCTTGTCCCTCATTCTTGGCCGGCAGGACGGTTTGTTCCGTGAGAGCGGCACCGCAGTTATCACAGAAATTGGCGTCATTGCAACACAGAGCCTTGCAGGCCGAGCATGTTGTCATGTGCATCGTCAGCGCGTTATCATTCCCCCACCCAGGCTCTCGCTCGGTGTGCGTGGCATCCACCACGGGCTCTCCGCAGGTCCCGCAATAGCGAGACTTATCCGGTATTATTTCTCCACATCGTTTGCAGGGGTTCGGCATATTCTCGGTGTTCAGGTTCCAACCACACTCACGACAAAACTTCGCCCCGCTGTCGTTCTCAACGGCGGAGCAGTGACGACACACCCGGCCCTCGCTGGTAGGTTGGGATTTATGAAAAAGATCGGGCAGCTTACCCCACCCGTTTGCGGTGCGCGAGAGCTCGGTCAATCTGCTCTTAAGATCCGTCGTCGAGGACTTATCCCCTTTCATGAGTTCCGCATTCATAGAGCCCGCGCCGGAGTTGCTCGAGTACCCCCCTGTGGAGGACAACCGCGTAATGACCGTGGAGGCGTTTTTGGTGCTGGAGTCGAGGCCCCCTCCTCGTTTGGAGTGCACAGGAGGCCTCGACGTATTCCCTGGGCGACATGAGCGCAGGTGGACGACGAGGCGATCGGCCAAAAACCGCCGCCCGCAGTTCGGGCAGGGCTCCAGGTTGATCAGGAACTCCCTAAACTGGATATCGGACTGCTCCTCGATGGAGACCCCGGGGCCGCCGCGCCAGTTGACGTTGTCGGGATGTCGGGGTTTGGTCCCGCGCGTGGCGGGGTCCCCCGCCTCCCACTGTGCGAGTTTCTTCGCATAGCACTGCGGGACGTGGATGCCGATCGACGTCGTCCCGAACTGCCGCCCGCAGAGATAGCAGGAGGGGAGTATAGGCCGCATCCCGGGCGTCCGGGCCGGGCTCACCCGCTCCGATCGCGCGCGCTCGCTTGCCAGGCCGCCG